CAACAACAGCAACAACAATCTATGGTGTTGATCGATCAGCGGGTTCTTTTCTGGATAAACATTCACACATTTAGAACCTGATGGAACCATCTGTAAACTCCAGAACCTGTGGAACCTTCAGGTGAACTCACCTGTTTCTGCGAGCTGCTCCAGTTCTGCTGCGGAGCTCATTCTGCTGGACTCACCTGGACGGAACCACACCTGGACGACAGGAACATACCTGGATGAGCTCGCGGACACTGAAGCTCAGGTGAGTAAACGGATATTTAAGGCACGTGAAGCCGAAGACAGACACACCTGCGCAGGTGAAGCTGTTAGCTTAAAGCTTTAATTAGCATGAGAGCGACACCTGAGCCGTCGACCGGAAACGCTTTACGTCGCTTTAAACTTCCCGTTTTCAGCCGCACGCGCTTCTTTTCGAGCCTCACCTGCACAGGTAAACTGGACTCACCGTCAGACTCTCACCTGAGGCGGAATTCTGACGTTAAAGTTGATCAAAGCAGGGAATCAACCGGAACCGAGTTTGATCCAAACTTCCTCCACCGAGCTGCTGCCGCCGCTCTGCGCATGCTCAGAACAGACTCACAGCAGCTTCATTAGAAAGTGATTAAATCCCAAAGTCCGCTTTAATGATTAAACTCAGAGAAACAAGCAGCCACATAGATTTCATAAAAGACATTAGAACCGTTTCATCAACAGGTTCTGATGTCAAAGCTGCTTCAGAACCGGCGTCAGTTTGTCCATTTGCTGTTTAGTGTGTTTCTGTTTTACCTTCATTTTCAATGTTGTCCTCTTTTCTAAAACATAGTGACCAAAGTCAGCAAAATGGCCAAAACAGCAACCACATGGCACACAAACTGACAACAGAAGACACTAAATGAAACCCAATCAGACACGAACAGGGTCAGAACCAAATGTGAAGCTTCACAAAGAGATGAGACGGGATGAGTGAAGCGCAGCAAACAGCCAGCAGCTGATCATCAATGAATAAAATAATCATCATCATTCAGATGAAAGCACAGCAGCACACTAACGTTTATGGAGTTTTCTGACTTTACAGCTGAAACAGCAGCAGAACGCTGAATCTCTGAAGGTTCTGTTTAAACTTCAGTTTCCTTCATTCCTCTCAGATCAACCTGTTTTCTGGTGGATGTGAAAGTCTGACATCTGCTGGATGGAAGTCTGAGCTTCACGTAGAACCTGAACACGAGCAGAACCTGGTCCCACCTCAGAGGAACGAAGCTCTGTCTTCACATTAGAAACATTCGAAAACGTAGACGTGGAGATAAACTAAAGAGCTGTACGTGGCAGAGAAACACGAGCCAGCGAGTCCAAACAGAACCGTGTTTATAATAAATGAATGATGTGGATTTAAAGCAGCACAAAGCTACGAATGGACAGAACATGTTGGAGGCGTGTTTCCATATAAATCAGACCTGAACGCTGTAATGTGAATATTTAATGATTTAACAAAGCAAATGCTTCAGTTCATATATATGTTTATGTTCATATTAATTCATATATATTTATATATATACATGTATGAATATAACACGTTTTGTGTTTTTCTCACCTGTGTGGCAGCTTCCTGTCAGGTGTGAACCCGTCAGCAGGACGAAGGTGTTCTGAAGGACACGTTTGGGTTTTGTTCTGAATCCTGAGACACATTTGAAGCGTTCTTTGTTCTGAGGCTCCTGCTGAGAGTTTAAAGGAAGAATTCTTCAGGAGGATTTACTCACAAACACATTTATATGCAAAGCTGCTGAAACTGAGCAGAAGAATTGACAGAAAGACGTTTTGTGTTTTGGTCTGAAGGCGACGGGAGAACGAAGAGACTGAATAAAGAACAAAGAACCCTGGAATAAAACCAGGGTACCGTCAGAGGAGTTCTGTTGTGAAAAGGAGCACATGAATCTTGTGTAAACGAGTCTTTAGCTTCCTGTGAAGGAATCTAAACGTGTAAACTGTGATTCTGGGGTTCCTCAGGGTTCAGCGCTCGGCCCACTGATGCCTCTCGGGACCATGCTGCAGATTCACTGTTCAGCTGAAGCTGCTGCCGGAAAAATCAGCTGCAAACAAACATTTACTGTCATTTATTCAGTTCTTATTCATGAGCGCTAAAAGTGACAAAAACAACTGTGAAAAATGTTCAAGTGGAGCCGTCAGAGCTCAGAGCTCAACTCGAATCCAGAAATGACGTTCCAATAAAGTTAACCTGCATTTTTTCTATTTTTCATAGAAACCAGGTGGAATTAAAGTCTAATGAGGATGAATGAAGTCAGCCAGACGATTTCATTTTATTCTTTAAGCTTCATCCTCCACAGCTTTGGTCTCAGCTTCACGTCAACAGAACCAGCTGTTGTACCTTTATGCTGTTCTAACGGATCAAACTCTTCTGTCTGTAAACAACAGAAGTCACACATCAGCTGTTTTAGGGAATCAGGAGGAACAAAAGGAAGCGTTCGAGTTTTAGATGGTCGACGTGAACATTGAATAAATCCAGCTTCAAAACTCCTGCTGAAAGTCTTTGGAGACTGTCGCCTGTTAAGACTCCATGAATCAGATCAGAAGTCTTTTGTTCTTTACTTTTATAAATAAAGTTTCTCTAAAGCACCTGGTGGATGTCACATGATCAAACCTCAGAAAGCCTTCAGATTATAGACAAAAATAAAACTGAACAGTTGTTGGAGCTGCTGAAGTGGACATTTCTGGATCAGATTTAAAAAATGTCTTAAAATGTTCACAAACATTAAAAAAAATGTCCTAAAAACTCTAAACTAAAAAATATATATATGTTTAAAATATACAGAAAATATTCCCCAAAGTCACACAAATAATCCTAGAACATGAAATCAATGATTCACACAATGTAAACATGAACGATTCGGTTCTGAGAAAAGGAAAAACAATATTTAGATGAAAGTGGCCTTCAGAGAAATGTTCTGTAGAAGGTAAAATATTTTCACTGGAAACCAGCTGAACATGTAAATGAGGTTTAAGCTCATTAAATATTCACTAATTTGCATAAACAGGTCTTAAACAAGCACCTGTTCACTGTGGAGTTCTTCTTTCTACGAGTGTGAAACAAAAACATCCTAAAGCGACTGAAGAAAGGAAAAGAGCAGCTCGGCGTCCTGCAGACGTTCAGATTAACCCGAACAGTAAGGTTCTGCTGCTCCTGCAGTGAACAGAACCACGGATCTGTTGATCGGCTTCAGCAGCTCTGAAGGTTTCACATGAACGAATGAATGAATGAATGAATGAATGAATGAATGTCTTCCCCCAACAGAAACATGTGATTATGCAAATGAGGCGAGTAGCAGAACCGTGACCCAGATATGGAGAATAAGGATGAGCTGAGTCTGAGCGTCACAGATTATAAAGCCTCCAGGAAGGAAGATTTACTGAAGCACTGGAGCTGATTTATGTTTAAAACAGGAAACACTTCAGTTCTGTCTCCGGATCAGCATGAACGGATGATTTTAAGGAAGAAGACGTGGTTCTGACACGCTCGCCCCACATCATCCCGTCATGGCGTCATGGCGTCATGGCAACACCATAAACAACAAGAACACAGACCAGGAGCTCAGCTCAGCAACCAGAACCGTTCTACATGTGACATCACTGAGAGACTGGATGTTAACATGAATCATTCATCCATTCATTCGTTCATTCGTTCAGTCATTCATTCATTCACCACCTTTATCCAGTCCAACAGTACCATGAACGTGAATGAAACAGATCAACAGGGATGCTGATGACGACATGAATGTTCCTGCAGGCTGAGGGTGAACTGTGCTCTTTGCAGCTTCTACTTCTGTTTCTCATTCACACGTTCACTCTCATGAATGAGTGAATCTGCAGCATTTAACTGATGTTCGTTAAAAACATGCTTTGGTTCAGCAGCATAAGAACAGATGAAATGATGAACTGATGGAGTGATGAAGTGATGAAGTGATGGAGTGGTGAAGTGATGAAATGAACTGATGAAGTGATGAAATGAAGTGATGGAGTGATGGAGTGGTGAAGTGATGGAGTGGTGAGCCCGTGGTGGTGTGCTTGTGTTGCAGCGCAGCCACCAGCAGATGTCAGAGTTGCAGCTCCAACATGAGTCCAGACTGAAGCAGCACCTCATGCAGACAAACACATCCATCATCTCTACACCTTCACGCTCCCCAG